GTGGTTGTGTTTGGGGTGGGTTGTATTGGGGGTTGTGTTGTGTTGTGTTTGGGGTTGTGGTTGTGTTGGACTTGGGGCTGTGTTGGATTTGGGGTTGTATTGGGGTTGGGGTTGGGTTTGGGTTGGGGTTGGAGTTGGGGTTGGGTTGGAATTGGGGTTGTATTGTGGTTGTGGTTGGGTTGGAGTTGGGTTGGGTTGGAATTGGGGTTGTGTTGTGTTGTGGTTGGGTTGGAATTGGGGTTGTGTTGTGTTGTGGTTGGATTGGAATTGGGGTTGTGTTGTGGTTGTGGTTGTGTTGTGTTGGAGTTGGGGTTGGGTTGCATTGGGTTGGAATTGGGGTTGGGTTGTGTTGGAATTGGGGTTGTATTTTGGGTTGGGTTGTATTTGGGGTTGTGTTGTGGTTGGGTTGTATTTGGGGTTGTGTTGGGGTTGTGGTTGGAGTTGGGGTTGGAATTGGGGTTGTGTTGTGTTGTGGTTGGGTTGTATTTGGGGTTGTGTTGGGGTTGGGGTTGGAGTTGGGGTTGGGTTGGAATTGGGGTTAGATTGTATTTGGGGTTGGGTTGGGGTTGGAGATGGGGTTGGGTTGGGTTGGAATTGGGTTGTGTTGTGGGTGGGGTTGGGGTGGGGTTAGGGTAGTGTGAGTGTGAGCGTGAGGTTCTGATGTCACTGCTGTGCTGTATGCTGCTGCCATGGGGGTGCTGATACTCTTATGATCCCTGAGGCTCAGACCCCACTGTGCTCGAGCCAGGAAGCAAAGGAGCCAGAGTCTGACTCTGGACCCAGAACCCCTGCTCTCGACCATTATCAGCACCCTAGCTAGGGGGCGGGGGCCTAGAGGAAAGGCTTCAGACTTCAAAGCCCATAGCAGATGTGGACCTGGGACCACGCCCCCCCATCCCCACCCCTGTGTAGGCTTGGCGCGGCCCTTGCCCCACGGCCCCATCACCTCCTTGGGTGTCTGGGCGTAGTCTTTCATCCTCTCCACGGACACGACGCTGCTCTCCAGCTCTGTCCAGGTGCGGACCGCCCACTGCAGTGTCTGGGTCACCTGGTGTGAGAAGACCCCTCAGGCTGGGCCCCAGCATGGCCACTGCAGTCTTAAAACTGCTTGGGAGGCAGGACTGGGGGACAGAATAGGGATGCCGGGACAGGGCAGTTCAAGGACCTGGGCCTAAGGGGAAGGAATTTTGCTACCGCAAAATAGGATTCATCCGTACTTCCTTCTCTCCCTCCTTTTCTTTCCTCTCTTCCTCATTTCCCTCCCTCCTTCAAAGCAGAACACCCAGAGAGGTAAGAAGCCCTCAGAGGTCAACTCTCCCACCCATCTTACTGCAGGTGGGGAACAGAGAGTGTGTGTGGTGCTCCCAGGAACACACAGCAGGTCCTACGCTTTCCCCAGGGCCTCCAGTGATGTCCCGTCCCACGTTCCCCACCAGGGTGTGTGAGCAGCCTTGCACGCCATGGCCTCTCAGTCGCCTCTCCCTGACACTGTGCCTTCTGCTCTTACCCCCTCTGGCCAGATTGGTGGCCTTGCTGTTCCTGAGACCCCTGGCACACTCCTGTCTCAGGGCCGTTGTACCTGCTCTTTGTCTTCCCAGAGCCTCCTTCCCGAGGGGCCCCCTCCCCTCGCTTGACCATGCAATAGATGCCCTTCACCCCATGCTCATCTCTGACTCAGCCTTCTCCTCACTTTCTGGACTCAGCTGCGTCCACTGTCCGATGAGGGCAGTAAAGCCACCTTCACGGCCAGCAGGTCAATGCCGACTCACAGTGACCCTTTAGGACAGGGGAGCACAGCCCCTGGGAGGTCCCGAGGCTGTGACTCTGCATGGGAGTAGAAGCCCTTGGGATGGCTGGTGGTTTCGAACCGCTGATCTTGCTGTCAGCAGCCCAACGCGGCACCAATAAGCCACCGGGCTCCTTCGGAGAGCGACAGTTGAGATCAAAACGAAGCCTACCGTCACTGCACTGCTGAGGACCCGGGTGTGCAGAGCCGAGCCACACGGCTAGGGGTCAAGGCTGCGACCTCTCAGAGCCAGACTGACAGGCCTTTCTCCCACGGCAACCCTGGGTGGATTCAAACCACCGTGGGGTTGTGGGCAAGTGAACGGGGGTGACCCACACATGTGCAAGGCACTTAGAACAATGCCAGGGTTTGTCTGCCTAGCTACTGCTGTGGTGCAATGTCCTGTGGCCCAGCATCACTTATCAGGCATAGGCCGTCAGGCCCGTAATGGGCTGCAGATGCTGGCTGCTTTGTCTCGACCATGGGAAGAGATGGTTCGCTGCCTCAGACTTCGAATGCACACCCTGAAGCTCTGGACAGGGAGCTCCTGGCCAGCCCGGCAGGCTCCACTCAGCTAAGTCCAGCCCTTGTGCTTGGGGGGGACTTCTTAGAGCCCCCTCGTAGAGCTGGGCTTTCCTCGTGGTTGGCAGTTCGGACTTTGGAAGTCGTCCCATCCCGGTGGGTGTGTCTGAGCGTGGGCTAGGGGACAGTTGAGCGTACCTGGAGGGCAGTGGAGACAGAGAAGCCCACGAGGCTGGCACTCAGGTGGGCCCTACTCAGCACAGCGCACGTGGCCGCCGCCAACACCAGGCTGTTCCCCAGGAACTCCAGGTTGGCAGCAAGCCACCTGTGGGAGAGGCACGAAGCCACGGGTCAGCAGTGCCTGGGTCTGCCGAGGCCTGCCTCTCTGGTCATCAGCCAGCCCAAGTACCACGTGATCCCCCCAGCAATGGCCCTCATGCTCCTCAGGCCCCACCCAGCTTGACAGGTGCAAGAAGGTGGTGTGGTTCCCTGTCACCTACCTATGCCAGCTCCCTACGGGTCCGCTCCCAGTTATACCTCCCACCCATCCTCAACCTTCTCCTTCCCAATGTCAGCTACCCCTCACCTCCTCCGAGAGCCTTCCCTGACTGCTGCTCCTTGTTCCTCCCTGCTGATGGCGCCCTCCGCAGTAGCCATCTCTCTTGCAGCAGTGTGGCCACTGGTGACGAGGACACTCCCTCCGGCTCCATCCAGGAGCCCAGAGCCTGCCACCGTCTTCCTTCTCTACCATTTGTTTTTCTGCCCGGTCATCCAACAAATATGCATTGAGCTCCGGCTTGCGCCAGACGTGTGTGTGGGGGTGGGGGTGGGGGGCGCTAGGGACACTGTTGTCAACAAACAGACTCAACATCCTGCCCCAGGGAGCTGGGGCTTTCCCAGACACAGAGCCAGTCTTCCAAATGGTCACTCCTAGTCCACAGACGAAGGAAATGGCAGAGCTGGGGTGGACCGCAGGTTTGTACTCGGGGACCTGGGGCCTGTTTAGCCTGGAAAGGAGGCCAGAGGCCCTTCTGCATCAACCACCAGTCAGCTGGTCCGGCTGCCTGCCATCAGCCCACCTGACCTCTCTGGCCACACAGCACACTTTGACCTCTGCTCATACTCTCGGGGTCTTCTGTCCCCCCGGCTTTTCTTACCTGTCAGCCACCAGCCGTGGGAAGCTGGCCCGCTGGCTCTCGTCCACGTGTGCATTGCTCTGAGCCACAAAGGAGCCCTGGGCCCGGAAGGCCCTGACCACTGTGCTGCCCTGGAATGTCTCGGCCACGTGGGAGCAAACGGCTGAGTGGCAGGCTGACTCGAGGCGCCGCAGCTGGCATGAACTGGCGACGTAGAGGCTCTGCAACGGCCGGAGACACAGAGAGGCTGCTCTCAAGCACAGGGCTCTGGGCTAGACATTTGCTGTGCGGTGTGACCTTGGACCAGCTGTTTCCCCTCCCTGGGCCCCCGTTTCCTTGCTGAGTCAAAGCTCCGTGGTCCTTCAGAGTTCCCTTAAGGGGCTTTCAAAGTGCCCTGGCGGCACTGTGGGTGAGGTGTTGGGCTACCGTTCACAGTGTGGTGGTTCACAGCCACCAGCCACTGCTCAGGAGAAACATGAGGCTGCCTGCTCCCTCGAGTTAGTCTCAGAGACCCGGACGAGGGCTCTCGTGGACGGAACCGACGTGACACGGCAGTGCACTTGGTTTTGATTTCTAAGGAGCTTTAAGAACCTCTGATGCCCAGCGCGAGACTCCGAATATCTGGGCCTGGCCCCTCTCTGGATTGGCTTGTTATCCTTCCAGGTGAGTCTGCAGTGGCTGAGAGCCACTACAATCTAGTGTAAACACCTCCTGGTAGCTGCAGGGGCGTGGTGACGCGTGCAGCGTGCACGGTCACTGCCTGCGCGGGGACAGTGCTGCTCTCTCCTGACAGATGAGAATGCCCGAGGCTCAGAGCCCCGAAGCAGCCATTCCGACCTGCTGCTGCTGCTTTTTATTTTATTTTATTTTTAGCGGCAGGGTGGGATCTGGCAAGGCCTGGATTTAAACCCACCTCTGTCTGCGTCTAAAGTTTGCAAGAAAGAAGCAGCCCCTCCTGTAGGCCGGGAGGACTTAACGCAGATCTGGCGAGCTGCAGAAGACCATGCTGGCCCTGCTGCTTGTCTGAGCACCAGGCCATGTCTACTCTACCCTGGATGTCCTGCAGGTGGGGCATCCGTCACGGAACCCAAGCAGAGGTGGTCACATGGGCCACCCCGGCCAGTCAGGGTACACTATCCCACTGGCCACTGTGAATCCTTCAAGGATGGACACGTGACTCATAAAGCAGAACCTTCCCTGGGACTGAAGCGGGAGAAGAGCTTTCTTTGTGCCATGGTGGCTGCGGTGGTTTGATGTGAGTGCGTGCTGCCCCCCGGCAGTCACCCCTGACCCCTGCGGGGGTCACCCGTGCGCTGGAGTGGTGATTGTGTGGAGGGCTGGGCTTCACCCCCAGGGTGTGAGTCTGTCAGACTGGGGCGGGGCCTAAGCATGTGCAAGTCTAACAGTTTCCCAGCTGCTGCTGCTGGGCCTTGGGCATCACGCAAGGAGAACCATGGAACTAAGATATGGGGAGGAAGACACCCGTCCTGGTGAAGCCAGGCCCGCGGCACCCTGTTAACTGTAAGCTATTGAATTTGGTTCTTCGGTTTGGGCTCATTAGAGTTGGGCAATGGCCTGGCAACTGAGACGGTTTGGACCATGTCAGCCGTCCTCAAGGCCTTCCTGATTTCCAGAGGACGAGAAATCCAACGTCAGCAGCAACAGGGCAATGGGTGAGAGACTCAGAGCTGTGACATGAATATTTGGGAGGCAGAGAGTGGAGCAGGTATTCATAGCAGATGGCCAGTTGCACAGGACCTCTGACGGAGCTCACCTCAGCTGGCCCAGCTGGCCCCTGGACATCTCCCTACCTGAAATCCAGCATACAGGATCAACAGTGGGAGAACAGCCAGCATGGCCATTGGCGTGGCCGCCGCCACCACCAGGATGACCTCCAGGAGTCCGAAGGCGTGGGTCAGCAAGGACCGGAGCTTGTCTGGGATGTCCACGTCGACCATGTCTGTCTCCTTGGAGAAGCGGTTCAGCACGTTCCCAACCGGCGTCTGCTCAAAGAAGCTGACGGGTGACCGTGCCACATCCCACAGAAGTCCGCGGAAGAGCAGGCTGGAGGCCCGGGCCCCGCCGAGGAACACCACAGCCATGGAGGCAAGCAGCCCAGCAGCTGGGGGTAGAGGGGTCTGCATGAGGGTGGGGGCTCGGCCAAGCCCCTGGAAGACACGGAGGGTCCAGAAAAGGAGGGATGGGCCCTGTCCCCCCCCTCGCCGAGACCTGGCTCAAGAGCACAGCTCTGTGCTTGGGGCCAGTGGGTAGGGCAGGGTAAGGCAGGAATGGGAGAGCAGGGGAGCACCCCTGGGTGGGGCTGGGAGAGGGGCACCTTGGAGACAGCCGAGGAGCCCAAAGACCCAGCCGCGCAGGGCCGCGTGCGGCTGCCGCCCGTCCACCACGGGGTCATCCGCCCACAGGCTCAGCCAGTAGCTGCGGCAGAAGGAGGCCACTTGCTGGCAGAGGAAGAGGAAGAGCACATAGAGGCAGAGGGGGCCGCCCACGGCCCGCAGGTAAGTCAGGTACATGGCGCCCTTCACCTAGGACACAGGGAGGGGAGGGGGCAAAGCCAGTGGGCAGGTGGCACGCCCACAAGAAACCTGCACATCCTCCCAGCCCCCGTCCCGTCTCCTCCACAGGCCCACCTAGCCCCTGGTTGAAGCCTCCATGGCTCCAGGGAGACCTGGAGGTGACTGGGTGGGTGCTTTCTGGTTGGAGAGGGGCTGACTGACGAGCCCGCCGCCTGCTGGCCTCTAACCTGGCATTGCACTGAGGGAAACAAATCCAAAGCGCTGAGAGGGCGTGCCCAGTCCCTGACCCAGCAAGCCGGCGTGCCTGGGGAGGTGCCTCCACTGCAGCCTGCTGCACTGGGCCTGCCTGCCCTGGCCTTTCCTGCCCTTAGAAGAAGCCCCCAACTCCTGAACTCATCCCTGCTCACTGTTTTGCCAGCCTCGGGGACCCCGTCTCTCACCCCGAGGTACGTCCCACCTCTGCCCCTGCTCTTTCCTCAGCCAGCACCACACTCACTCCTTGGCATCCTCAGGGCTCAGCTCCAATCCCACCTCTGGGAACATCGGGCCCAAAGCAGGTCCCAACCTCCTGTGGCTCCCACTCCCGCGCCCTGCTGTATTTTCCTTGTCACGCTTCCTTGGATGCACGATGCCCCGACACTGGCCTAATGGTTAGCAGCCCATCTGCGGGCAATGAGGGTGCAGTCTCCGCCTGGGCCTGGCCCCTCGAGGCTGCTCAGGACATGTTTGCTGGTGGATGGGTGGACGGGCAAAGGGGACAGTGAAGTGAGTGAATGGGTGGGTGGGTGGGTATGGGGGAGAGAGACTACCAGGTGGAGGGGTGGGGAGGGATGTGTGGATTGGCGATTGCGATGAGCAGAAAGATCTATAAATGAGAGGCCAGGTAGATGGATGGGCAGGGGAGTAGGTACATGGATGGTTGGGATGCATGGGTGGGTGGGTGGAGAGGTAAATGGTAGGTAGGGAGGTGGGTGGATCGATACAGCAGCTGAAAGAGGAGAAACACAGGTTTCTGATTCACATGGATCTAGACTTGACGCTTGGCGTGGCCCCTCCTCCTATGAGAATGTTGGAAGTTTCATCACCTTTAAGAGACCCCAGTTTCTTCCTCTCTAAAGGGGAGCTATCGCCAACTACCTTTGTAGGTACCTATGAGGATAATGAGTAGAAAGTACCTAGAATCGAACTGGGCACACAGTAGGTGCTTCATAAGGGTGGCTGCTGCCCGCACCGCGCTGTATTTGGTCCCCAGGGGCGGCAGCAGGAGTGGGTGGGATGGGGGAGAGGGGGGAGGGAGCAGCTGGAGGTTACCCTGCCATATGGCACGCGGGCTCCTCCTGCTGGCCGGCGGGCCTCTTCAGGGTCATTGAAGGCACCCGCTTTCTGGGCCTCTGAAGTGCTGTGCTCCTCAGGGACTAACTGGACAGACCTGACCGTCAGTGGAAATGAAGACAATTCAGCGTCTCTCCTCATGGGCACTGGTGGCCCCGTCCTACGAGGCACACTACCCAGTCTCCCTTCCTCTGTTCATCCAACGAACATGTTGGGCGCTAACTCTGTGCCAAGCTCCATGGTGCCCACGACACCCTGTCATCCCAGAGCCCGGTGAGCAGGCTCTCCTGGAGCCATTCTCCCGGAACTTGTGAGCTCAAGGAGAAACTAGGCGACCAGAGCTTTCCCTTGGCCTAAGCTTGCCCTGCTGCCTCCCTTGGAGCAGTCGGTCCAGCCTGACACAATGTCAACCCCGTACCGTTCAGGGGAGCGGTGTTCCTCTGTGCCTGCCTCCCTCCCATCCCTCTCTCTCCCCTCACCCACACACCATTGCTGTCCATCTCCCACGCACCTCGAGGACCACCTCTCTGTCCACACCCCCGTGTGGCCCTCACCTGTGGCTGTCTGTATAGCCATCCAGCCACCCACCCGCCCCCTGAAGATCATGTCTATCATCTGGACAGACCTGCTGGCTTGCCTTGCTTAGGATGATTGTGTACTGTGAAGAGAAGCAGTATTGCCAGTATATGTCCCAGGGATGCTCTGAGGGGCGTGTGTGGGGTGGGGGTGGGGGTGGGGGCTAGCTGAGCTGGGAAGAGGGGCCCTGCCCAGATCCAACTTTCTATAGCAGCGGTCCCCAACCTATGGGTTGCCACCCCTTTGGGGGTCGAACGGCCCTTTCACAGGGGTTGCCCAATTCATACCAGTTATGAAGTAGCAATGAAGATAATTTTATGGTTGGGGGTCACCACAACATGAGAAACTGTGTGAAAGGGCCGCGGCATGAGGAAGGTTGAGAACCACTGTTCTACAGTGATCAAGGTCCACCCCAGCCTGACTGCACTCCACTCAATGGCTGACACCAAGGTGAAGCCATCTAATCCCAGTAGCCTGCTCAGTTTCACAAGGCCACTTTGGTGGCAGGTCCACCTGCAGCAGCCATGCTCTGCTGAAAACGGACAGCATGCCTCCTCCTGGTGATGCCTCTGCCCACGTGCCTGCCCAGCAGCAGAGGGGGGTGGGGCCGGGGTGAGGTAGCCCCAGCGCTTTGCATGGCACGCCCGGCAGCCAGGTGTGGTGCCAAACAGCTTCACGGAGGGACTTTCTGTGGCACCCGCCCTGCCCCGTCCCGGGCACTAGACGGTTCTCACAAGCCGCCTGCTGTCCACTGTTAGGTGGTCAGCCCATGGAGGCAAACGGCCATCTGGCCAACCGGCCACTTGGGGGCATAATTCTTTGGGCAAAGAGACTGGGAACCGCCCCTCTGCAGAGCTCCGGGCAACGTGGGGCGCAAGGCACCGTGCTTCTCCTGGGATGCGGTGACCTCCCTTCAGCAGCAGAGGCGCCCACCCTGCTCCCCATCACCCTGACCGACCTCTTGGGTCTGCCCTCCGGCCTCTCGCCTCCTGGGGAGCCTGTGGGGTCCTCAGCGCAGGAAGGAGGGTCCATCTCTGCAAGATGTGGGGATGCCTGTCACACAACAGGCAGCGCAGCTGGCCGAGCACCGTGCGTCCCTGTCCTGGCTTCGCCACCCCTGGAGGAGCGGCCTTTTCCTGTTTCTTCTGCTCTGGCTCCTGGCACATCGCCTGCGTCCCCTCCACCCCGCCGTGGCCCTCCCAGCTACCTCTCTCTCTCCTTCAACAGATACAACCGAGCCCCTCCAGTGAACGCACACCCCACTGCCAACGAGGCGCTTCCGACTCACAGAGACCCTGTGGGACGGAGTAGAAGTGCCCGGCGCATTTCCAGGGCGGCCAGTCTTTACGGGAGCAGACGGCCTCGTCTTTCTCCCTTGGAGCAGCTGGTGGGTTCGAACCGCCAACTTTGCAGGGCTGACTTGGGGTTGTCAAAACACACGGGAACCCCGTACATCATCTAGCTGCTTCTAGCTGGCTCGGTGCCAGCCTTGTTGAAGAATGACTGTGTCTGGAATGTTCTTCCCCAGAGAGGTACCACCCAACCTCAGATGTCACCTTCCCAGGGCCCTGCCCCCACGGTCTCAGACAGGTTCTGTCTGCAGTCCCTGGGTGGAGACTCAGTGAATGCACGAGCAGGCTTTCCTTCGGGGCGGCCACACGCTCAGAGCGGGCAGAGCCTGGGGCTGGCAGACACCCCAGTGGGCATCCTGCCTCTGGCGTGGAGTGGCAGCATAGGGTGGTGATGACAAACATTCTCGGGGGTCACTACGCCTAGGCCCAAATCCCAGCACTGCCTCCCACAAGCCATGCGGCCTGGGACCAGTGCCTCGCTGTCTGGGCCTCAGTCTCCTGGTCCGGAACATGGAAATCAACACAGTACCATCCTCCCAATGGCCTCATGATGGGGGGATGAGGAACACCCACCAAGTGCCCATCTCTAGGTGCCAGGCTGGTGGCGCAGTGGCTGAGCGCTCGGCTGTGAACTGAAGGGTCAGTGGACACAAACCCACCAGCTGCCCCTTGGGTGGAGGATGTGGCCGGGGTCACTGCCTTAGGGACTGGGTGGGGCAGTTCTGCAGGACTAGGCTAGGTGGCCGTGGTGTGATGTGAGTTTGGACCAGCTGCCTTCCTCCCACGATGGGATCGTTTCCCCAGCAACCGCCATGTTCTCGGGACCCGGGCGGTGGGGCCCTCGCCGCTCTCCGGGACCCAGTGATCTCACTCAGTGTCAGCACCGGGTGAAATGCAGACTCTGGGAGTGGACACACCCTAATACAAACCCTCGCTCCCTCCCTGTGACCTTGGGCAGACTACTGAACCCTTTCTGCCCCCAGGTGCCCATCGCTACATGGCAGCCGCGGTCCTGCGTGCCTCCTGGGCTGATAGGAGGAGCAGGGAAACCACGTAGAGTTCTAGACGCTCCGAGCCCAGCTCTGGGCCCACAGGACTGGCTGAGGCAAAGGGCAGCCTCTCAGGGAGAGCCAGCTGCCTCCAGGTCCAGACCTCAAGCCAGTGGGACCCTCGGTGCCGTCTCCCCAGGGTGTCAAGACCCAAGCACAAGGAGGCAGCGGAGCCAGTACCTCTTTTTCCTCCGTCTTCTGGTTTTCGGGCCTGACTGAGCAGGTCTACCAGGACCCCCTTCCTGTGCAGAAGGTCCTGGTAGGAGCCCATTTCGGCGATGGCCCCATCCACCAGCACTACGATCTGGTCGGCCTGGGGCAGGAGGTGGAGCGCGTGGGTGACCAGGACCCGCGTCTGAGGAAAGAAGAAGCCCATCAGCCCTGGGGGCTGAGCGTCCCTGAGCTGGGACTGGGGAGGACCAGTGCCTGGTCAGTCCCCGCTGGTGTGCTCCTGTTCACTTCCTTAGAAGTCGTTTGCTCCAATAGAGGGAATCCTTCAACCTCCTTCGGGTCTCAAAACAGGGAGACGCATGGGGCTCAGTGCTCCTGGCCCAGGGCTGTCGTAGCTGGAGCACAGGCCCGTATGGGAGAAGGAGCACTCTGCTGGTGGCAATCACTGAGCACCAAGGACCATTTGTTACACGGCAGCAGTGCCGCAGCTGACTGATGCAAAGGGGAGCGCTGGACTCAAGGAAGGGGTACTGAAAAAGACTTGGGCTAGTCTTGCTCAGACACACCCTCTTGAGTTACCGTTCCCTGGAGCAGCCCGCTGGGCCCGATGACCTGGTGAAAGACGTGCTGGCCGACTCGGGCATCCAGGGCTGCCAGGGGGTCGTCCAGCAGGTACAGGGCAGCCTTTCTGTACACAGCCCGGGCCAGGCTCAGTCGTTGTTTCTGGCCCCCCGAGAGACTCATGCCCTGTGGTCAGAGAGAAGGGTAGGCGCCCGAGTCTCCACCCGTAGGGCAGAGCAAGCGCCACAAGCAGAGTCTGTGTGGGTTGGGGCATGTCTCAGTGCCCATCCACCAGGGTCCCTCCCAGGTTTCCTCCTCCAGCCTCTGCCCAGCCGCTCTCCTGCCCCTGACAGCTGGCCCTGCGGTGGGTGGGAGGCGCTTTGGGTGTTTAGGAACCACGGTGGGAGTGAAGTGGGAGGGGGAGCGAGCCTGGAAGGAGACAGGGTCAGAGATACCTGGGATTGGCTTTGGGCGGGAGGGGGTCTGGCACTCCCCAGGACTTTGGGTTTTGCTCTGGGGAGACCTGTGGAGTTCTGAGTAGCTGGGCATGACCCAAATCCCATGGCTGCTGGTTTGGGATTTGACTAGAGGGCAAGGATTCAGGCAGGCCAGCAGGAGGATACGGAAGCGATGGAAGGGAGGTGAGGGCCGGAAGGAGACCCGCCCGGGGCAGCTATGGAGGTGGGCGGAAGTGAAAAGTGAAGCGGAGGATTCCGAAGGGCACCGAGGGTCAGGGCCAAGTCTGGGAGGGGGAAGCCAGGAGGTGGGAAGGCAGCGGGGCGGGGGGAGGAGGTTCTAGGGGATCAGGCACATGATCTTGCAGATGCCACACACAGCAGGAGAGACTTCAGATGGTGCCCAGTGGCCCTCCGGCCTTCAGCACGCATCCTGTGATGGCCCTCCGTGATGCCCTGCCCTTGGTGACACAGCTCTTCCTGGCTCACCTGCTTCTCGGCCCACAAGGAGGCTCCCTGAGACCCTCCCTGGCCGGCTTGCTACTCCCCCAGGCATGTTGCCCCCTCCCTTAGCGCCAACTCCTGGTTTTCCCTGGGACAGTCCCTAGTCCAGGGCTGGCCAGCTCTTTGTTCACACAGGGCCAGGTAGTAACTCTCTCAGGCCTGCTGGGTCGGCTGCAACTTCTTGCCTCTGAGTTGTGACACAGAAGCCGTAAGGGAACACCGGGGCTGTGCTCCAACACAACTTTATTTACAAAGTCAGGCGGTGGGTAGGCTTTGACTCGTGGCTTATAGTCTGCAGTCCCCTGCCCACCCATAGCTTCCTGTGTCCTATTATCAGATGTGACCACCCTGGCCTTTTGCCCAGAAAGGGGTGAAACATTGCCCATGTCACCCAGCAGGGCCAGGAAGGGCTGGGCAGGAGTCCGGTCTCTTCACGCTGCCAAAGCCTGCCCTGTTTCTCTGGCTCCGAGTCTCTGTCTCCGTCAGTCCCCTGCTTGTTGAGTCTACAGTGTGCTTGGTCCTGAGCTAGGCCATCTCTCCTGTGTCCCCTCCAGTCTTTCCATACCACCCAGGGGCCAGGGAAGCAAAGGGCCCTGCTCCCAGGAAGGTCCAAGAACCCACCTGCTCCCCGACTTGGGTGTGGACTCCTTTGGGCATGCGGTCCACATCCGGCCACAGGGCACAGGCCTCCAGAACTCGGTCCAGCCACGGTGGGTCCAGCTCCTGCTGGAAGCACACGTTCTCCACCACAGAGGCATTCTGCACCCAGGCCTCCTGGGGCACGTAGGCCACGGGCCCCTGAAACACAGCGTGCCTCGGCCATTGGGAGATGGATGAGCCAGGGCAGGAGCTCCTGGGGTGGGGAGGGGGGGGGACTGGGAGGAGCAGGGTGTGTGAGATGGGAAGGGCCTGGCACAGGGCATCAGTAGCCTCACCTTGGTGCTCACGGACCCCTCCACCTTGGACAGCTCCCCTAGGAGGGCGGACAGCAGGGAGGATTTCCCGGCCCCCACGGGACCGATGACAGCCAGCAGACAGCCCTGGGGCACAGCGAGACTGATCCTGGCAACACAGGACAGGAGCTGTGATCCTGCGGAGGACTCAGTCGAGTCTGTGCCGGCCTGGGGGGCCCCAAGCAGGGCCGCCTTTCCTGCTGTGGCGCGTCTGAAGTCACCAAGATGGCCCTAGGGCCAGCTCCTCCCTACCAGTGCTTGCTGGCCAGCCCAGCAGCTGCCCCCTGCACTTGCACAGGTACACGTGTGTTCACAAGTGCATGCTCACACTCATGTACACGTGTACACACACCTACAGATACACGTGTGCACTATAGTAAGGTGACCAGATGTCCCGCTTTTGACGGACAGTCCCGATTTTTAACAATTTTTCCCACATCTTGCGGCGTTTTAAACAAGTCCTGGTCTTTGGAAAGAATGCACGACAAGCTAGGGTATA